ATGATTCAGATAATCACGTTTGACTCTATAATCGAGACTCGGAACAAGAGTAGTATTGCATCCTGAGTCAGGTGGGGCAAAAGCTGAGTGAAAAAAGACGTTGAATAAATTTGCTTGATCAATGGGTCTAGTAGCCTGAGCCGATTCATGTTTAGTTACCCCAGGAATTCTAGTAGTTTTGGTAATCGCTTTGTAGTATGATGAAAATTTACCAGGATCGTCTCTCAAAGAATAACTAAGCTTCGAGAGGTGACTGCGCTTTTTGAATTTAAGCATTTTCTTAACTCGTCATCTAAGCCCACGGAATCTTTCCCATAAAATCACGGAAACTTTTAACTTGGCTTAATGTCAAACCCTGTTCTTTCTATTTAGCAGTAAAAGCTCTTCATTAATCCACGGTCAGTGGTCTGTTGGCATCCTCAATTACCGCTTTTGGAACATATTCATCTACACATGATAGAAACATATCATATCAGCAGACAGTACTAGCGTCTATGTCATTGTCAACAAACACAGTGTCCCAAGACATGTTCCTTAGAGCGGACTTTAAGCCAGATAGATGAGCCTTTTTGAAATTGTAAACTGTCCGACCAGATTTCTTCATGCGCTTGAGTTTTGTTAGCAGCGAGAAACTGACCGCGAGATGATCAGAGCTGAAATCCTCAACTGCGCTGACAGCAAATATTTCTTCAGGATGAGAATAAAACATCAGATCCAAAATAGACATGCAGGAGTGTGAAATTCTACCATTAAAAATTGTTTCTGAAACAACTTACCTAATTACAAATCCAGTTCGGAGGATGTAAGGTACAAGTTGCTTGCACAGTAAGTCACCTTAAAAGGAAGAACTGTTGGATGTGCAAAATCGAAAATTAAGAGTTCTTTTCCTAGTTGGGAATTGGACATGGAATAAACCTGAAAACGAGACTAAAATGGATTGAAAATATGAGAAGAATGATTTCCAGGGAGTTACTGTCCAGAGCTCAACTTTGACCACTCCACTAGCTTTCTTCTTTAGTGATCTAATTAACATAAAAAGTATAGCTTGTCGGCAGATAAATAGAACACGCTACCAGAGATTCTAGTTACCATAAAAACCGAACTGATATGTCTCCATGTCAAATTCACGATCACAGTAAGAAGAGATAACTATTACTCAACTTACAAAGTGAGACCGTCAAAGAAATAGGAAATGATCAACTAGCTTATAATATTTTTGTTGTTGCTTAATGGCTCATGGTGACATATTAATTCCATTCGTTTTTTAACAATAAAATAAGGAAACCCTTATAACGCTTCTAGATAAGATTTGGGTAAATTTTATCGTTTCGCGTTTGTAACCATGTATTTTCTTTTTCTTTCATTTTCCCTGTATTTTGACTTTCAAATAAATGAACGTACTGTAGTTAAAACATCTAACAAACTGTCGACGTCTCTTTCGAATATCAAAGTCATTCATTCTTTAGAAGGTCCGTGAGCGTAACTCTGATTTTTCATTTTCGCTTAGCTTTTCGACTCAAAGTAATTTGTTTATATCAACTAAGTTGAAATTGAAAATTGGCCACCGTAACGAATAAAAAAGGTTCTGATGAAGGGCTAACGCTCGAAACGTCAGCTTTTTTCTTCGTTGCGGTGGCCACTTTTCAATTCCAAGTTAGTTGATATAACCAAATTACCTTATTACCCCCCCCCTCCCCCCGACGCAGCAACACAGATTCTTTAGAAACTTTCAGCCTTTTTCCACTCAAAGGCCTGCTCCAAATGTTTCCCTTGAAACAAGTCAGGTTTGATAGTTGAATTTTGTTTGGCGGCCTCTATTGCGCTGGACTCAGAGGGAAGCTGGGATTTTTCAAAGGGTTTGGGGATTGAACCTTGGGTACCCACGAGATTGTCACGATTCATTGCGTTTTAATGTAATGTATAGGAAATTTCTTTTAATCATCATTATTACAAAAATGATTAATGAGCACGGAGGGGAGGGACAATTCTATAGAACAATTGTGTAGATGAGTTAAGTTTAATGGAATAGAGGTTTTGCACAGCAGCCATGTTGGATGGCAGGAAAAATGAAAATATTTTGCATAAGAAAGAATTTTTTTTCCCATGGGTAAAATAATCTATTGTTCCTGCCATCCAACATGGCTGCTGTGCAAAACCTCTATTNCTCATGGATATTTTTAGCACTTTCTTAAATATTTCATCACATTTTAAAGTTCGCCACATTTTTATCCATTTAATTTTTTTCTGCATATTTATGTTAATTTAGAAAACTTTTACTCACTTGAAAATGACCTCGGGGAGGTGGAAACGTCGAGCTTTTTATGAATGCATTGGAGTTGTAAATTATTTATATGGATAGTTAAGACGCGTCAGTAAAATTTTGTTCACGAAAACTTGCTAACAAGGCTGGTTATAGTGACTGATTATCAGATGACAGTCACGAATGACTTCTGGCCAAGAAGAAAGAAAACCATGTGAATTTCATCTTCGAAATCGACCCCAATCATTGGTAAAAATATTTGATCTCACAACTATAGAAGGGATTAAAGAATAAATTGGAGTCATGTTGGCCCATAAAGTATCACGTTAGATACAATAATTATCATCAATTGCGTTTATCGTGTGACTCGCGTGACTTGAAATTCAAATGCTTCTCAGTCACGCAGCTGATGCAAACATATCCTCTTCCCAGATTTCTCTCCAATGATCGTAAAGATTCACGGGAACCAGGAAGGTGCTTCGGCAGGCATACTTTCGAGGAAGTTTGTTTGTGGTGTGTTGTAAGTTTATCCGGTGTAAGCAACCATAAAACTCTTTGAGAATTCTGAAGGTCAACCAGTGTTTCATCTTCGACATCAAATGTAAACTTTTGTGAGAACCGTCAGCTCAGTTAAAGCAAAATAATGAACTTCAACTGCCGTTCCTGTCACTTCTGTCAAAGTGAAAACCTGTTAAGGTATCTGTTTTTTTCCTTTTTACTCTTCACATGTCCACCGATCTATTACTGCGATCTTTGTGATATCAATACAAATTTTGGGCGTGAATTCTTGATCACTTAATATCTTTTGCAACCCGATTGAACTACTTAATTAGCAAGAGAGGATAACAAGCCAACAAATCTCCAAGGTGAATGTTTTGTAATGTTAACAACAACAGGAAACAGACAAAAGGTTCTCGAAAAGTAAAAAAGATCTAAATTTTTCCACTTATGGTATCTGATCTTATCTGCATACAGTTGCTCTACACTGAGAATTAAGAAATAAATCCAATTTTCTCAGTCACTTCAACAGACAACCAAAGTTGCTCGAGCACTTTTGCCCGTCAAGAGAATACAGAGCATGTAAATCTTGAAGGTACCGAGCAACAGCAATCCGTTGTTCCTTTATGGCTGGAGAGATCTTCTATTGAAAAAATCTTTGGTAAGTTATTGTTGTTCATTGTTTTTGTAAAAAGAACCAGGGACAGCCAGACGCCGATTGTGAATAGATGAAACTATTCAAGGAATTTTAAAGAGAACCCTCCTCCCTTCTCATGACTTACAGTGTACAGTTCGAATTCAACTGAAAATACTCAAACTTCGACGTTATTCAAGCCCGTGCTGCCCAGGTGAGCTGTGTTTCCTAAAACTACAGCTCACCTGCAAGATTTTCATCTGCAGGAAAAGTGAAATTTATTTCATTCTATGTTTCTTTGAAACTTTTATTAAAATGAAAAAGGCCACATTTTACTTATGATGGTATCTACGAGCAGCTATGCTCCACAAAATTAAATACGCCGAATCTCTTTTTCTCTGTTACCTCAAGAAACAACCAAACTTCCTCAAGTTCTTTTTCTAGTCGAGAGTATACAGAGCTTGTAAATGTTGAAGGTATCCAGGGTTTGAAAGTTAATTTTTGTAGAGTCACTGATTTTTTTTGAATTAATACATGTATACGCACAATTAAAATAACGTTGCCTTGATATTACGAGAAGTTAATTTAGAAATTTCAAGCCATGTTCTCGATCAGTGTAATAATCAGAAATATTGAAAAGTTCCCACTAACACCCCATTTCAACAGAATTAGAGTAATCGATTTCTACTGAAAATTTACTGTAGCTGTAACTTTTTTAGTTCAGTAACGTGTAGCTTTTGTCATACTTTTAGCGTCGTCAATTATTGAGAAGTGTCAAGAGCAGCTGAAGCCTCGTTATGCCACCTTCAGTAAAGCGAAAACAGTTCCGTGGCTCGACAGCTGTTCTGTTGATATTGAGGAGATCTACACACCTTTGCACTGGGTCCGAGATGAAAGGAAGCCCAGCGGAGTGACACAAGAGGAACTTGGAGACTACACCGACATGTTCATAGGAAATAGATATCATCCTAAACCAACACGAATGCTTGTTTATGGCCGGCCAGGAATTGGCAAGAGTACGTTTTGTAAAAGGGCTGCATGTGACTGGTCGAAATCCTTACAAGAAATCCTAATGAACTTTTACATTTTACTTCTGATCAAGTTGCGAGATGTGTGTGACATGGAAAACATTCGTGATGTATTGCGTGCGTCTAAACTGCTGGCCGGTGATGGTCTGGTCTCAGTTGATAGTTTTTATCATTACATAATTAACAATCAAGATAAGGTTCTTCCGATTTTGGATGTTTATGATGAGTACAGCTGTGCAAAAGAACACTCCCACATCCTTGAAATTTGTAAGGGCGAGCTACTGAGAGATTCCCACGTTATTGTCACCACGCGACAAATTAAATGTGACGAGTTAAGAAGTCTTAGTCACGTTCTGTTTGAAATTCACGGTTTCAAAAGCTGGAAACAAATCAAAACCTTTGCAAGAAAATTTCTGACAAGCGAGCAGGATGTTAGTGAGTTTAAGACCTACCTGCAAGAAAAAGCTCTCAAAGGCATGGCAGAAATACCTCTCCTCCTGCTGATACTATGTCTGGTTTGGATTGAGAGACGTCATGAAGAAATGCCAACATCACGGGCCGACATTTACACCAGTTTCATTCAAACCATGCTGAATCACAGGATCAAAAGAGATGCTAAGTCAGAGCCTTTTAAGAAGTTGACCTCAGAAGAAATCCGAAAAGACGTCAGTAATACTGGGAAGCTTGCATTTGATGCGCTTTTACAAGGCTCTCTCTTTATGCGCCTAAGTTAACTTCCCGATGATATTTCAAGAACTCTGGAAAAATTGATCAAAGTTGGCCTTTTTCAAATCGTTAACATTACTAGTCTGAATCCTGAGAAAGGAATTTATTTTCTGCACAAGTCTGTACAAGAGTTCCTAGCAGCTTGGTTTATTAACGAGGAGGTGTTATTTGCGGATGAAAGTGAGTCGCGAAGTCTTTTTAAAGTTGATTCCGTCAAAAAGAGTGAGGAAATGCGGGAAGTGTTGAATTTTTCCTGTGAGCTGTTAGTAGAGGCCGCGTCAGAAGTTCTTTGTAATTTCGGTTCTGTCCGAATAAAGGAAAATTTAAAGTGGCTATGAAGTAAAATATTTTTTATCCTG